AGTGGACAAAATTAAAAGTGAAATAATATCTAGTTTAGTTACATGTGAATGCTTTTGAAGATCTTGTCGAATATTTACATCCGAAAACTGACAGCTCACCAGTACAAAAGTCATACTCTTTCAACATTGATGATATAAAACCATGCTCAATGAACATTTCACATCCGTTTTTGCATAAAGGATCAAATTGTATATTCTTGGCGTTGTGCTCATGCGACTGCACTCTATAAATGGTCTCATAAGTGAAACAGATTCGAAAAAACTAGTTAAACTAATAGTAACATATGGACTCGATTGAATCGCACGTAGTACATTCACGATCAGTAAATATTCATCAAGTGAGTGATGTTCTACAAGAATGAATGTGATGCATAATTTTATGTTCATGTGAGTGGTTACTACTTCTGTAAAAGCAACAACTTCAATGATGCATGCTTTTGAATGTTGTTTATAGAGCAGTTACAATCGCCGCAGCAACAGGCACCTCTGGAGACGACGATCAGCAGTGCGGAGAGTGGATCGAGCCATCGACGAGCCAAATCAGCTGGTATGCGAATCATCGTAAATTCCTTTGTTCGAACTGTCTCACTACTCGTATTCGTTCCTCACACCTCAACTGTAAAAAAAAACACAACACTTATTGACAACCACTCCTTGAAACTAAGTGCAACATCACCCCCGAAATACCTCTAGTCTCAAGCATCACAAACACCTTTAGTTATTATTTCACTTTTAATTTTGTCCACTTCCTTTCATTTTCACCACGTACTGTTGGTATTACTGGTTGATCGAATGCAGTGTAAAACCAAATAACTGTACTCTTCAACGTTCATGATGTGCGAAACACAGCAGAATTCGCGGTGAGTTGCCGTGATCAATCAGCACACAGCATGATGTTCCACCGATCGTTGATTTTATCGTTTGAACTGCTCATTCATGTTCACCTGACCTACCGAAGAAAGTTTCCAACGAAGAAAAGAGAAATCTAATCGAACGTGAATCATTTGATCTCCGAAGCCGTGTTATCGGAAACGGTGTTTGATATTGTGACACATGTGTTCGCATGAGATTGTGTTAATTTGGGTATTGTGTTAATTGTTAATTTGATGGGTGTGTAAGTATAATATTTGTCTGAGTGCTATTCTCATCGAATTTAATCTAATCGCCTTGCCTGGGAGCAGAATCGGGTATTGTTCGAGAGCAAACGCAATCGTAATTAATTGCTTTGGTATGTTTAGTTGCTCGTTATATGGTAGTAGCCGTATGTGTTGTTGTTGCTCGTTGATTTGTGTGGTGTTGATTTCAGAACGGAGTCGATTAGCGAGTTCTGAGCCGAGCGGATGGCGTTTGTCGCTGTCGAGATCAACACGTTTCGACGTTCACGATACGCGTGGTAAGAATACAGACTCTCCTCGATCGCTCATGTGCTTCGATCATGATGTGATGAAACTGAGCTTTCATGTCTTGTTCTTCCCCACAAATTCAATCATCTTCATCGCCCGCCCGCCTTCAGATGCCATTTTTGTGTGCAATTGTCCAATTTTACCGAATCTTTTCCTATCAATTAACTTCTTCCGCATAATTGGCACCATGAATTTAGTCGTATCCCTATGAGTGCCATGTTTGGATGCTACATAAAAAACAAGACGAATATCAAGTGTGTATTAACAAGTATTAGTGTAGTTAAGTGCATGGTCGTATATAATTTTAGAAGCGGTTTCATGTTGTGATTGAATGAATGTATAGCTAGCAGCTAGCTGGGTTGGCTTTTTAATGCTTATTGTAGATTCGCAGATTTCACTTACATTTCTCAACAATTGTACTGATGCGTCCTACATCAGTGAAAATGTCATATTCTTTGAGTTCTCGTACAATTGTTCTAATAATAGTTGGCTGCGCAAAGCTACTCTGATTGTAATTTTTTCGCCAAAAAATTGCTTCATAAAAAGAAGAATGAATGATCAAAAGGACTTTACGGGTATTGCTGCATTCGAATATCCTTACGGTGTGCCTTCTTAACGTGATACCGCTTTTGCAAAATTATTGTGTTACCAAGATTGTTTTCATAACTTTACTGTTGTCATTAACTGATGTGGCTGTATATTTGGTGACAGCAGTAATTCTAACAGTAGTAATTGTTATCGTTAGCAGCATCATTATTGTGACTGTATTCTGTTTTGTCCGTTTGTCAGTGGGTCGAATCCGTTAGAGATTAGTTAAGCAAGTTTCTTTTGTTTTGAATAATGTGCAACAGAGGGAAAATCGCAGAAATGGAGTGGAGATGCATATGTGGGGTGTTCGGAATTGAGATCTTTCATCTGTTTGAGTTAAAGTATGAATGGAACAGCATTGAGGTCCTGCAGCTACTGAATTGAAAGTGGAGTTTCGACTGTCTTAACGACAACACTCATTATTTTACAATCTCTTCGAGTAATACCAAAATGTGAATTATGAAACAAGTATTCTCAACGAAGCAATTGAACAAATTTGTGAATTTTAAGGTACGGATGTCGGTGATGCATTCGAAGGTGTTTTGATTAGGAAACATACGTATGAATCACTTGACAGAAAAGCATCGAGCAGGTTAGCCATTCTCCGAAGTGTCGCTTCTTTCAAATTCGTTTATCATTTCTCGCTGACCACAACCTTGGGACAGGAAAGTTTGCTGAAGTTTCTGAAGTGAACGATTGATTTGATTGTGTGCAATTTCTGATACTGAATATGAAACGTCCGTAAAAACGCTATCGTTAAGCCGCGAATCAATGAGGATGCGTAAATGTTAGTTGTTATGCGAGTAATGAACCTCGAGGAGTAGTGATGTTGTGATGGTTCAGGTCGTGGGAGAAGGTATATGTGGTACTGCGCGGAACACGTTTAGCATTCTTCAAAGATCAAAAGCACAAAGAAGAAGGAATTGCGTATCATGGTGAGGAACCGATCTCATTGGAGGGTTGTTCAGTGAATATCGCCGCAGATTATACCAAAAAGAAGAACGTCCTCTCGCTAAGACTTCCTCCTGGTGCTGAGTACCTCCTTCAAGCCGCCAACGAGGTATTTTTTTGTCTTCTATTGGCTACTGACTTCTACTGAATGATTGATCAGTTTCGTTTTCAATTTTCTGAGAAGAATATTTCACAATTTCATCAATTTTCACCAGCGGACCTTGAATTAGACGCTCGAAAATCATCTTTGAATAAATGCAGTCCAAAGTTTCAATAACGCTATAAAAGGCTTATAAGAGAACAGTTATCCAAGTGTGAATGCAACCTGATTATTGTGATATAATCGCTAATTGCTGAAATTTCAACTGAGCACTGAATATTTTGCTGTGTGCACGTTGGTGACAGACTCTAAAATTACTGTCATATTTGTGACAGGAACCGATCCGTATAACAGCACCATTTTCAGGAGGATATGGAGCGATGGTTGCGACGATTACAACTTGCAACTGGACAGTCTCAGGAGGAGGCAGCACGCTCTCAAACACTGCCGGTCGAGGGTGCAAAAGCTAAGAAGGGTGGCTTTTTCAGTCGGGGCAAAAAATAATCATTCGCATTTTTGTAATCAGTCATTTTGCTGGCTTGCTCTGCTCTGCGTCATCATCGTGAACAAATTTTTTTGTTGTTGTTATGAGTGAGTGAGCAAAATAAGCAACACAGAACTGAGATATGTAAAGTGTAAACGAATTGATACGAAATGATTTGTTTGTCTTCGTCTTTTGAAGTCATCATTTATAGGCTATCGATTGTCTGATATTATTAACTTTTGATTGATTTATATCAACGATTGATTATGGATTTGTTTGTTGTGTTTCCGTTTGTAATCCTGATTGTGCCCTCCTCCAAAAATCTTACATGAGATAGGTGCGTAACAGCAGTACAGCAACACTAGCGAATCATATTTTCATATGATTCGAAGAAATCTTCCTAAGTTCATTCATACACGCTGTTGGCCAGCATTCCTCCAATGTTGATTCGAAAAATGACTTATTTCTAAAAGAAATGATGCTTCCCACATTCGCATTTCTACTTGTGAGTCGTGTAAAACAAACACAAGAAATCAATGGCTCGTTGAAAGTGATTAGTTTTGAGTCTCTGCGGATCATTCGGTTTGAAAAACTGAACGTGATAGCCATTTCTGATATTTTTTGTCGGCTATTTTCCACTTCAGTTCGTTGTTGTTCGAGGATTTTTTGGGGGGCTTAGCACTGTCAGGTTACGTTGTTGTTGTTTCAAAGACGCTGGTAGTAAGGTTTGTCTGACCGGAAGGGGAACTAGCTTGCAGTCCGTCGATTGTGAACAATTGCCTGCAGTCATAGGTCATAACCACCACACCAAACACACTCAGGATGTGCACTCGTTTTATGAAATTCATTTTGTGTGTTCTTCTTTTGTCTTATACAATTACATTATTCTTAATCGTCAGATTTGTTATCTTTCTGAAACATCCTCCATATATATTTTTCATTATCGTATCAGATGCATTGTCATTGTGAAAGGCAGCTCGCTAGCTAATATTGCATTCATTCATAACAATCTTCACTGTTCATTGTTTTTTCTTTTCCATTCATTTTCTATCATTTTTCACATTCAAATTTTTTTATTTTTTCCATTTTCTGTCGATTTCGTTTTTCCGCTGTTTGATTGATTTCTCTACTCGTTACAATTGATGATCGAAGTTTATAGAGAGGTAACTAGTATATTACTAAGCGATTGTATTGGTCAAGATCGAGTTGTTGTTTTTGTGCTAACTTATTGCTGAAAGAGATTAAAAATTTTTTAAATGAAAATTTTGAACTATAGCTTTCTCACAATCAGCAAACATTCGTCAGGGTTTTGTAAGCAGTGTTCTGAGCAGTTACTGAGCGATTTTTCAGTTAGGTCCAAAACAACTTGACTGAACCACGCAGTTGAGAAGAATGATGTATCTTCGAAGAGAACTTTCGCATTATTCGATTGATATTGCTTGCATATTCCACCGTTTTGTATCAACATTGAACATGCACGTGCGTTAAACGATGTCATAGCAACATTCATTTGTTAATTTTCAATTTTCTTTTTGAAATATTTTATTGAATTTTCTACTATATTTTGTATCTCATAAAACACATGTTCGACTTAACGAAATCTTAATTTCAATGCACCTCTTCATTCTATGAATAACTCTCCCTCTATAAATCATTCGAACATCTCGAGAGCATTCCAGATTCCCAGATAAGCAGCAAAATATGGTCCAGCTCAAATTGGGCGCTTTATTAAGAGGACAACGCAATGTTAAGAGGTTGAGCGTGGTTGAAAGTAGGATTTTTTTNTTTTTTTGGAAATTGTTATCGTAGCACATTTCCATGAATGTCACTATCAATGTCATTATTACTGTTCATTAAAATAGGAATTGTTATTTCGTGTTTCATCTAAAACTGACGGCAAAGTGAACGAAAAAATGAAACATCATTAATTCACATCGCGTTTGAATGATTTTATAATTGCAATTGAAATAATGTGGATTATTCTATATTATCGAGTGCCGTTTTTTAAATTAAATTAATTATTACGTAAGGAAGATATTGCTAATGTTCTCAGTTTATAATGATATTATTATCCATTTTCTTTTCGAAATTATCAGTATGATATTAGTTGTATTATTGATTGATTGTTGCATTCGCTTCTTTTTTTCCTGAAAATTAAATTTTTCTTGAAAAGTAAATCAAATTTTGTTGTTTTCTATATTGTGGTGTTTGTTTGTGTTGGTTCGTTCGTTCGTGTATGTTCATCAACCACTCTTTTCCGTGTCACACATGAGTTTAGGAAATGACTGTTTCTGGAGAAATCTTCCCGATAAGATCCTTAACAACTGGTCAAATCGTCCAGTCAACGAACTCGCAACCAAACTACTGTACCATTTCTCTGGTCGTTCTCAAATGATTTTTAAGACGGCATAAAATACGCAACGCAAACTAAGAAAACGATCCAGTTTCGATAGCTCAAAGATACTGCATTTCAGTTTGTAAAATTCGAAAAAAACCATTATCCCTGCTTTACTCTACAGTCTATAGTACGACCTTTTTATCTAATCTATGCTTAAGTTGAAGCCGGAGCATGCAAATGCCTACTCAAGTCTGTAGTAGATACTCTTCAAATTTTATTCTTCTCGTCAGATGCTTACCTCGTTCCTCTTTCATTTCAGTGATGAAAAACTGAATATGATATTTTATTCACTCACCTGATGATCGATTACTCAGAATCAATTCGTTCAAAGAAACAATCCAGTACTTGTTGAATGAATGCCACTTGATGATTTCGCTTGCTATTATAGGTTATTCTCTGAAACGGATTTCAAGAGCCAACTCATGTTTTTAACAAAAATCTTCTGGAATGGAAACGTCTGAGATTCTTGCGATGCGCTATGTTAACCGCATTGTGGTCATTAAGAATTCGAAACATTCCGGTAGCAGTTCATGATATAATCAATCAAGTCAAATCAACCGATCAGTAACGATTGAGTTAAATCAATCAATCAACAGTCGACTGATCTAATCAGTGACTGATAAAGTCTAATAATCTTGTTCTCCCTACGACTCATCTCGTCCTATTGGCTCCTCTAATCAAGAACACATTCAAGATAAATTCTTACTGATATCAGTCTCATATACAATACCACTGCCAACGTGACTGCGTTTTTCAATATTACTGCAAGTTTGTTTGTCCACATTTGACGTAATTCCATCTCTGCTTATAACGCTTTCAATTCAAGTTTCTCATTTGAATATTCCACGTTGTAATCTTCGTTCTCTTTCAGAACATGACGAATCGTTCATATTATATTATTTATGATATTCTCACACACACTCTTATTGTATTCATAATTTATTTTTCGAAATTATCGACGAATAGTTATTTTTGATGTGCGATGTTCCTCTCTGAGCTGTGAAGTGTGGCATTTGTCTTTACGATGGCAACATGTAACAATAAATTTTCATCTCCTGTGTTTTGAATCTGATGAA